TCCACGATACGAACAAAAACTCACCATACGACGTTACATTAGTTCGCATTTTTCATTTGTTTTTCTTACTACAGTTATTTTTTTTAATGTATTACTTGGCTTTAATTTGAGTATGTTTTTCGCGTTGGAACGAATTATTTGGTTTTACATGTAATCGTATGGGAAAAGATGATCCATCTTACGACATTTTCATGATACGATCTCAGTTTTGGAACGGATTAATTTCGTATCCTGAGGTATACTGTTTGTTTCTTTAGCCCTTTATTTAAACGTCTGTAAACGAGACGAAATATTTAGTAGCAATAAGTTAAATGCGTTTCTAGAATTTTACTTTCCCGGATGTATAGATAAAGGAAAGTGTCAAATTTGATCCTCCGAGTTTTTTTGCAAATCTCCACGTTTTCAGACCCCACAAACCCGAAAGAGTCAAAAAAATATTTCGTGTACGTGTCTTTTTAGAAACGAAATTTGGCACGATAGCTGACGCGTAAGGAGCATCGGCGCTATCAAATTTCTGCGGTTAATTAAAGGTTGAAGAGGCGGGGAGTCGCGTGTCCTATCTGGAGAGAGGTCGGACTTAACGAAGATGTTATTCGTTATTAACATTTAAATTTTGTTTATAAAACCGTGCCTACTCTTTTCGTCTTTCCGTAATACTGTAATTAAAAGTATTAGTTATTTTTTAAATAAAATCTCGCGACAGCCGGAAAAGTTAGGCAACTCGCTGCTAAGTTTTAAGTTTCTTTCTTAAGTTAATAATTCTTAGCGGTAAGATATTTAATGGAATTAGTTGTAAACATTTGTGTAAATGACGTAACGAACGACAAGTTAGTCGGTGTTATCCACAGTGGTACAATAGATACGGTGCAAAATTTGTAGACGTCTCTCGCACTTGTTTTCTTTGTCTATTTTTGCAAATGCCACGCTTCTTCCATTTCACACAATTATTAGCCGCTTTTCATCTCGGAAAGTTTTTAACTCGGACAATGTGGTTGGTAACGCGACGGAGATCAAAGTGTTTGTTTGTGAAAATATTTACGACGAAAAACTATAACTATAATAAAAACACGAGAGCGCTACTAATATTCCGCTGTTGAAAAAAATCGACAACGTACCGAGTATGGTACGGATGGGACTGACCCGCGTACACTATAAATAAACGATCGTACGGCTGATAGCCAAGCCCTTAGATTATAAAAACATTTGTATATTGGAGGTTAAGTACTGCACTTAACGGTTTAAACTCCGATCTTGCCTTCTTTATAATAATTAAATAAAATCTAGAAGATTTATACCACTTATCTAATTGCCTAAGCCCAAAATCTAGATTTAGACGATAAAGATAAATTGAAATGTGTCATCCCGTTCGATGTTTTGACTTAAAGTAAAATGATGGCCGATAGTACCAGTCGTTGGCATCGAGAGCGCTGTTTCTAAGGTCACAGCCACTCTATCTAGTTGATTCTAGCTTGTTGGTTCTCACCCTTCATTTTCTTCTATGGTATGAACTTTCTCGAGGAAAGAACCATCATCGGCCTTACAAATATTTGTAATATTTGTAAAATAGTAAGGATGATGGTTTTACCACACAACATTGCGGGGCTTCCTCTGCATTTGTGCGTGGACAGAAGAAAAATATATTGGGTACGGTAAGAAAAAGAAAGAGATAGGAAATAAATAAACAAAAAACTCAAAAAACAAAAAGGAAATAAATAACCAAAA